TATGTATATTTGTGCTTGTATACAATTTGTTTGTATGTATTTGTGTTTGTTTACAATTGGTTTATATGTATTTGTGTTTGTATACAATTGGTTTCTATGCACTTGTAGTTGTGTACATCTTTTTTTGTGTACAAATGTTTGTGTGTAATGTTTTATATGCATATGCGACTGTATGTTTTGTTTGGCACGCGTTTTGGTTTAATCTCAGAGTACATTTATACTATTTATGCTGCAATTTAGCGTATGCTTTGCTAATTCTTTACAAATTTTTATATGCAATGTCAAATAAAATTTCTGATTTTTTTCTGATACAAGATTGGAACGAGTAAGACATATTGACCATACACATGCCATTTCAAAGTTTACTTTTGTTCGATTCATATGTACAGTACATCATTCTATTATGTAATGAGTGTTTATTTAGTTTTTGGGAAAAGAATTTCGACGAACTGGTTTGTTTTTGTGTATATTGTTTTTTAACATGATGAAAAAGTGTATATAAGTGTGTAATTATGTATGTGTGCGTATGTATGTGTAGATGTGTGTGTATCTTTGTATGTATGTGTGTATGTATATATGTATGTATGTGTAGTGTGTGTGTGTATGTATGTATGTGTGGTGTGTGTGTATGTATGTATGTGTGGTGTATGTGTATATATGTATGTTGGAATGATTGCGCGTATATACGTGTGCGTGTGTGTGAGAAACATTGATAACTGGATTGATGGATAGATGTTTAGACGAATAGACGGACAGTTGAATAAATGGATGATGATAGATGGACGAATGGATGAATGATAACGTGGTTTGATAATGATGATTGGGAAAAGAACATTTTTCTGAACGATGTTTTCCTATCTGAATACGACGATCGTATTGGTGTGAATTCTGAGGCTATATTATGTTACATTTTCATTTTTTATTTTAATTTTTTTTGAAAAAATGGTTAACCAACACATCTAGTCTATAGAAATTTCTACATATTGCTCATGTTCTGCACATCTGCTTACGTGCTTAAACATGCCTCCATGCAAATACATACTTCCCCATTCATACGCATAGTTGTACCTACATATCCGCGAGTATTATTTCATACTACGGGTATAAATATAGGTATAATACGGACGGCTATACATTAAAATTTTTTCTAGAACGCCTGTAATTATAAAGGGCATTTTTTCTGCTTTAATTATAACGTTGCTATTGGTTCGTAGGAAGACAGCGTGTTTCTACTGGATAATTTTTATTGCTTGTTTTTTTTTTAATTTTTAGAGTTTGTATATTTATGCGGGTTTAATTTATATGAGATTTATTAACTTTTCATAAATCAAAGTGTTCAGTTATAATTTGTAAATTAATTGTAAATATTTCAAAGATGCAAACGTGATTTTATTTGCGCGTGTTGTGCGTGCGTGTGTTTTTGTGAAGACGGACACACACACACACACACACACGCACACACATAGACACACACGCACACACGTAGACACACACATGCAGTGGAAGAATTGTGTTTCATTGACAGAGCACGTTGAAAAGCAATAAATTATCACGAAACATCAGAAACATACCGCAGCCTTTTATGTAGTTTTAATTTTTTTGCTGAAACTTTTTTTCTCTCGGATTTGTTGTTAATTTTTTCTATGTTAATGATGAATAGCAAATACGAAAGATTAGTTTTCGAAACAAAATCCAAATTTTTAATGAAATTTTAGCATTTAACATTTTCATCTGATACTTCAACAAAGCTTAAACGTTTCATTACAAAGGAAAGATTTTATAATACAAAGCCAAAAATGTTTTCGGATTTGAAATACGTGCTCAGTGCTTGCCTATTTATTTGCTTTACTTTTATTCTTTTAAAAACTCTTTATCTAGCTCTGGAAGCAGCTTCATTCGACTTTTAGAAATCTCTCCAGTTGATTGTTCAGCCGAAAATTTGTCAAGATAATAAGTACATTTTAAAGTATAGACGGTTTGAATTTAGAGAAACATAAAGTAAGAAGATTTCTTCTTGCAGGAGAACATCTCGAGGCGTTATGTCACGTTTTGTTGGCACGCAAAAAATCGAAATTTGAAATGAAAAAAATAAGAAGAATAATAAAATGAAACAACCGAGAATAAAACGAAGCCGCGAAATTATCGATAGATATTTTTTCTTGGAAAAAGAAAGAAAAAGATAATGCAAATTTTTACCCTCGGATATATTTTTAAATTTCATCAAGCAAAATTTCTTCGAGAATAATTGAAATTATGATCTTGAAATATATATATGTATATATACATATTAACAATATGTGAATGAATTATATTCATGCGTCTGCAAGCACTCATGTGAAAAAGAGACCCGAAACCATTTGCTTAAATTTTCAAAGAAAAAATAGTTCTCTTGCCAAGGAAAAAATATTTTGGATGAAATTCCAAGTTTGCGCTTGTTAGAAATTACTTGAAGAAACTTTTTCGGCAGCAGTGGAATATTTGTCAAGAAAAATATTATCAACGTTGTTCTTCCTGACAACTTTAATTGCATACTTCAGAGGAATAATGAAACATTTTTGCTGAAAAAAAAAATCCAACTTCTCACGAGTACATTTTTTTCAAAACATAAAAATGACTGAATTGAAAGTTTTTTGTTGTAAATTTTGATTTACAACAAACGCCAGCCAACTCAAACAAATAACATTCGCGATATTACAAAAAATTTGCCAGATAAATTCAACAAAAACAATTTAGAAGAGACTTCTTTGAAAATGTAAAATTCCAGAAAAAAATTTGTAAATTTGTTGGCTGGCTGGCTGGCTGGCTGGCTGGTTGGTAGGCTGGTAGGAAGGTAGTTAATTGATTGAATCTCTCACTCAACTCAACTAAACGTTTGAGGTGCTGAATGGTTTCTGCCGATTGATCGTTGATTGAGTAAACAGATGGGTGAGTAAATGAATGAATGAATGAATGAATGAATAAATGAATGAATGAATGAATGAATGAATGAATGAATGAATGAATGAATGAATGAATGAATGAATGAATGAATGAATGAATGAATGTATGAATGAATGAATGAATGAATGAATGAATGAATGAATGAATGAATGAATGAATGAATGAATGAATGAATGAATGAATGAATGAATGAATGAATGAATGAATGAATGAATGAATGAATGAATGAATGAATGAATGAATGAATGAATGAATGAATGAATGAATGATTGATTGAACAAACGAATGAATAAATAAATGAATGAATAAATGAACGAATGAATGAATGAATAGACGAATGAATGAACGAAATAAAAGGCACGCCAATGAATAAATGAATGGATGAATGAATGAGAAATAGACACGTCGAAGAACTTACTCAGAAAAAGCAAAATTTAATTAAAATGACATTTCTCATTTATTTATAATCTCACACACACAAACACACACACTCACGCATACACAAAGACATACACAAACAATTCAAACCGTTGTAATGTCTTCACTACAATAAATTCTCTTCCTTTCAAATTTTTTTCAAAATTATATTTCTTTTCGTTTTGAATTTCTAGTATTTTTCAGATAAAGTTATTTAAGTATTTGGTTTAAAGTATTTAAAAACTATATATAAGAACTAAAAAATAAGTTAAGAAATACGAAAAAAATTCCGAGAATAATTTAAAGACATCCATTTTTCCTCAGAATATTAAAATAATTAAATGAAATTTTCTATTTCCCTTACAAAGGCATTGAAAATAATCTAGGCATATTTATTCTTTTTGTTTGTCTCAGTAGCAGCAGCAGCAGTAGTAGAGTCGTCATTACGCACGTACAAGTAAATGACATGGATTTTTGGGAACTTGTAAAGGAAGAGAACGGTCGATATATTCGTGTTTGTGAATTATGTGAATGTGTTTATGTGTGTGTGTTTGCGTGTGTGTGTGTTTGTGTGTGTGTTTGTATGTGTTTGTGTGTGTATGCTTGTTATAAAAGTTCTATGATTGTATATCGATTCTTTTTATCTATTTTAGACTCGGTTTTCAAGCTTTTATTGAGGGATAAATTATCACGATATTAAACCAGCGGATTTGAATAATGGTTTCATATGTAACGCTTAAAATAATGACAACACAGAATTACTGTTGCGGAGAACCACACAAACACAAACACCAACAAACAGTCAAGCACACAAATTCACGTACACACGCGTACACACACACGCACACGCATGCACATCTTTTTGACCACATGTGCACGTTTTCACAACCAACGACCTTCCAACAAAAATTTCTTATTGTAACCCGCACTGACGCAATCAATTTTGGCACTTGGCTTGGATTTCTTGGCTTCAAGAATGAACCACGCACACACACACGCACAAACACGCGCACATCACACGCACGCATACACACACAAATACATGCAATACGATAAACATCCACAAACATATTCTTTTGTATACTACATAAAATGCTTATTATTTTTGCACACACAAGGGACAAAACAAACAGTTCGAAGAGCGTAATGTTACATATGTAAACGGAGATGCAAGCTGTTTAGCGAGTAAATAAATTCTCACAATCAATCTATCCCTCAATTGTCGTGTGTTAATTGATTTCATTATTCGTGGCAGAGATGTTTTTTTGCTCGTGTGTTATTTTTTCCTTATTTTTCTGTTTTAATTCATTTCAGATTATCTAGATATGGACTAATTTTTAAGCCAATTTGACGAATCGCAAATTCATTCTGCTAGAGTTGGCAAAAAATAGGTAATTACGTTCGTTTAATCAAAATAGTTTCATTTCATCTGGTTTCTCACAAAATGATCAACATCGTAATTTAGCTTCTTCCACAAAAGTTTTTAAGCAATTTAGAAAAAAAACCGTTGACCAACAACAAAACGATAAATCTACAACACAAGTGAAATAAAAACATGCAACAACCACAATCAGCAGCAAGCAACAAACAAACAACTAACAAAATCAAACATCATCAAACAACAACAACAACAAACAAACATACTAACCATCCTCAACAGACTCGTTCCTGTTAAGTTCATCGTTACTATCATCATACTCGTCGTTGTCGTCCTCACAGTCGTTGTCATCACCGTGGTTACGGCGTTTTATGATTTGCAGTGATTTACTCTTTTTTCTGAGCAGGTTCTCCTTCTCTCTATCATTGATGCTTACGTCATCATCGTCATCATCTTCCTCTTCATTGTTGCCGTTGTTTGGTTTGCTAATGCTAGATTGTCTGTTGTTGCTGTTTTTGATGTTTTTAATGTTATCATTAATGTTGTTGTTGTTGCTTAATTTTTGTTTGTTTGTACTGTTTCCAGCGTTGAAAAGTTCGCGATTGTTGAAGAAAAGTTTTGAGTCGCTTTTAATGTTATCGTTGCAAGCGTCAACGTTGATGTCGTTACTGTGGCTACCACCGCCACTGCTGCTGCTGATGTTGTTGCTGCAGTTGACAACAGCGTCAAATTTCACGACCTCATTAACGACTTCATCAATTTTTTTAATCACGTCCATGTCGTCATCAACCTCTCCACGCAGAACAACTGCATTATCTCTTGCGTCGAAAACATCTCCAGCGTCTTGCTCCTCATCTTCATCATCAATAAATAAGGAGATGCGTTCGTATATGCCACGAGGGGTAGGCGCGTTTATCTCGCAACCAGATTTCGGTTTTCTGACTTCAAATTTGGAATCTTCCTCTTTCGTTGCGCCATCACTGGCTTTGATTTCCATGCAACTCTCACTTTTCATCATCAGCGCGAGGGCTTGCTGGGCGTTTGAAGGATTTCGAAGGTTGTTGTTTTTGTTGTTGCTGTTGTTGTTGTTGTTGTATTTTAGCGTTTCGTCTTCACTAGAATGTTCACTATCGCCTGTGTAGATAAGTTTGAGATAGGATGGGTAATTTTTGGTACCTTGTTTCACCAGCTTCTCAATTTTTCCTTTTTTCTGCGCTTTGAAATGAAATTCTTGTTTATGATGTTGTGGTTGTTGAAAGCTGCTGTCGGTGTTATTGTTGATGTTATTTTTGTTGTTGTTTTTATTATTTCCGTTGTTAGATTTTATTTTGTTGTTGTTGTTGACGTTGTTGTTGTTATTGTTAAGCTGGGCTTTATTGAGCGTGAAAAGGTGTAATGCTATTGAGGTGTTGACGCTTTTTAAATCATTTTCATTATTCGTGACAACAATATCTACCTTGCTCGCTGCTACGTTGTTGTTATTGTTGGTGGTGGTGTTGTTGTTGATGTTTTTGATGTCATTGTCAGTGTATCTAGTCATCATGTAATCATCTGAACTTTTACTGTTTTCATCGTGGTCATCATCTTCGTCATCTTCATCATCTTTAAGGAATGGGTTGCAATATATATGCTCATCTGCTTGATGTTGAAAGCAGGTGACGAGTTGGGAATTTATGGTCATAATGTTGTTGTTGGTGTTGTTGTTGATATTATTATCGATGTTATTGTTTTTGGTGATGACATTGTTATTGTTTTTAATATTGTTGCCTAGCTTAATAGTCTTGTTATTTATAACGTTGTCGCTGTCAGTGTTATTTTCATTGATGTTAGGATTATTGACATTAATGTCGTCTTTGCTAGAGGTATTGATGTGATTCTGACTCATTAAGTTTTTGTTGGTGTTGATTTTGTTGAGGTTAAGGATATGAATGTTACTGTTGTTGCTGTTGTTGTTATTGTTGTTGTTGTTATTATTGTTGTTGTTATTGTTGTTGTTGTTGGTCATAGTGAGATTGTTGTTTTCATTATTGATGAGATAGTTCATGTAATCTGTGTTGTTGTTGTTGTTGTCGTTGGTGTCATAATTTTTGTTTATATTGTTACTGTCATTGTAATTTATATTATTTTTAATTATTGGTGTGTTATTATTAACGTCAAAATTAGTGTCATTAATAACATTAATGTTCTCTATGATGTCTTTGTTGTTGTTGTTCTTGTCAACAACGATGTTGTTGTTATTATCATCAGAGTCTGTAGTTGTTGTCTTGATGTTGTCAATTATATCAAGAATTGTGTTAATTGATGACTCAACTAATGAAGTGTTGTTCATTTCGTTAATGTCATTTGTGTTAGTGTTGTTGTTGATGTTGTTGTTGTTGTTGCTGATGTCATTGTCATTAATACTAAGACGCGATGTTATAGTGCTATTTTGAACGTTGATGTTATCGAAAATTGATGTTTTTGCTAATGCGATGTCACATGTTGATGTAATTGATGTGGTTGTTAATGCTTCCATGTTAGTAGTGGAAGCTGGGTTGTAGCGGTAGATATTTTTCGGCTTGAATGTTGAAAGGGCGTGTGTCGTACGAGTACTGGCGTCATTCAATATTAAATTCACTATGTCTTCCGTCAGTTCAATCATCTTTTTGTCGTTTGGTGACGATGACGAAGATGAAGATGGCGATGATGATGGGGATGGTAAAGACAATTCACTAATGTTGTTGTCAATGTCGTTTTTGATTATAGTTCTTTTACTTAGTTCGAAACTGTTAATGTTTTTGATGTTATTATTTGTGTTAATGTCATTTTTGTTGTTAACAATATTTGAGGTGTTATTGGTGCTGTTGGTATTGTTGTTGTTGAGTTTGTTGAAGTTGTTAATGTCGTCTGCTGGTGCAAAGCAATCACAATTTGGTAATGAAATAGTTGCCGTATCGTCCAACGATGAAAACCAAACCTTATGTTGATGTTGTTGTCGATGCTGTTGATGTCGCAGTTGATGATGTTGTTGTAGAAGTTGTTGTTGCTGTTGTTGCTGTTGATGTTGTTGTGGTTGATGTAGATGCTGTTGTTGTTCTTTGAAAGAAGAATTCAAAATTACTTCTTTGTTTAATTTGTTTGCGGTGTAAATTTTAGTTGTTGAAAAAAGTTTCAAAGACATTTTTTATCATGTTTTCAAAAAAAACCTCCTACACCTAATCAAGTTCTTCTAATTATTCATTATTCATATAAAATTTAAATTAGAATAATAAATGTAAATTAATATCCCAGCGTATGTGCTCTGAAATGAAAGCAATAAGGTAAAGAGAAATAGCGTAAATATTGAAAATAAACTTCAAAGTCCTAGCTCAATATTAAAGACAATTCACATTATTCACTTTCAAACGAATGAATGAGTGATCGAAACAACAAATGAAAAAACGAATGAATGAACAAACAAACGAACGAACAAAAACACACGAGTGAACAAACAAACGAACAAACGGATGAATGAACGAACGAGTGAACGTATGCATTGAAAGAATGCAACTGACAGTCTAATGCAATGTTGATGGTATAGGTTTAAATGAGATGCCTTATATATATTCAATGCATATACATATCAACATATATGTTTAGATACAATGTATATATATATATGTATGTAAATGTATATATATATATATATTTGTATGTGTGTGTGTGTAAATGTATGTGTGGGTATGTATATGTGTGTATGTTTATTTATGTATAGTATATGTATACACATTGAGTTAATGTATGCATGCATAGTAACCGTACGTACACCTATGTAAAATAATGTGTATATCTAATTCTTGTATAAAATGTATAAAGATATTGTTATATAATAAGTATACTTTTGGTAATCACATTCAAATAATCAATAATTCAGTAACAATGCACGCATGCATTACTGAATTGTTTCATGCATTACTGAATGGTGCCTCCTCTCAGAAAGCAGTGGCGTGCATGCAAGCTTAACAAGAGAAGCAATTAGCGAACGATCGTTTGTATGTTTATCATTTAATTAATTATTTAAATATACTTTCTCTGTAGTTTTTAATATACATAGGTGTAATTTAATTTCATGATAGCTCAACGGATAGAGTGCCTGTTTCTTCACTGCAGTTACTTGGTTCGATTGCAAACAGTTTCCCAACTCTCGGACACAGACTTTTTATATGCGTTATGGGATTAGTTTAACTTTAAATTTCAAGAAATAATTTTGTAAAAATCTATTTTACTTGAATGCAAATTTGGAAAAAAAATACGTAACGTAAACGAACCCTACTAGTTGAAAAAGAGTAATATATGAATGGGGAAAACATTCATTTAGTCAAACGAATCTTTCTCACCCGTAAACAAGCAATCCATCTTGCGCGTTTAACAACTCATTTTGCTAACAAACATTTCATTTTGCTAGCAATATTTAAAAAATTTTTTTTTTTAACGGTCCATGTTTCTTCAGCTTTTTTGTGAAATATGTTTTTAAAACAACATACAGGTTTGTTTTGATGTGAAAATCTATCATTTAAAATAATTTTAAAAGAGGTTTATAAAAGTTAACTCATTTTTTGAACGATATAAACTTGTTTGCTTGCAAAAACAATTTTTAAAAATTTAATTTATTCAATTAATTCGTATAACACTCTGAAGAACAAAGAGGAACTTTGTGAATGATAGCTATCATTTTAAAAATTTGAATCTGAAAGAAATACATCAGTTTAATTAGCAATCCAATTATAAGAGCAGTAAGATAAAATCATTTCATCTTTACGCAAGTCAAAATAACGAAGCAATTGTATGTATCTAGAAGAGCCAAAAAAATCTTAATAAATCCTAAACACCTAAGGTTATGTTACTAACAAGTCAATGAAATAGAAGAATTTCGCCATGCATTAAAAGTCGTCATCTATCCAATGCGAGTTGGTTGTGTGAGTGTGTATGTGTGTGTGTGTGGTGTGTGTGTGTGTGTGTGTGTGTGGTGTTGTGTGTGTATGTGTTGTATGTGTGTGTGGTGTATTGGATTGTACATATTTAAGAGAATGTATGTATTATGTGAATAACTGTATAACCTTTACATGTATGACAAAAACAACAGTTTTATCTCAATGTATATGTGTGTGTGTTTGTGTGTGTGGTGTGTGTTTGTGTGTGTGCGGGTGTGTGTGTGTGTGTGGGATTTTGTTTTCAGGTACATTTACTTTTTCATTGTTTCATAGTCCATTTATTGCTTTAAAATAGACCATTGAATGATAGAAAGAACAAAAGAAAGAAAGAAAGAAAGACCATGAAATAATGATTAGGAATGTTGGGATGATCTCATTCAAGATGATGATGATGATAATGATGATGACGATGATGATAATGATGATGATGATGATGATGATGAGGATGGTGATGAAGATGATGATGACGATGAGTGGTGGTGATGACGATGACGATGATAATAATGATGATAACGACATGTAATTGCGATTGTTTTTATTCTATTTTTTAGATCATTTGTTTCAATCATTTACTTCATTAATTTAAATAAAAAATACTCTTTGTTTGCATAGACATATACAGTAAAACACAGTTGAAATTAGACATTCAATTGATTCATTAAGGCAGAGGGCAATAAACAACAATGTCTTTATGATAAAAAAAACGTCTTGTTGTTTTAAGATGTTTGTGATTTGTGGCTCTTGCGAATTGTTAATGTCCAGCTAACATTCATTATTTATTACACACGGCTCTCTTCTAGCCTTCATAAATTTTTATCTTAAAAACAAATATATAAATTTACTTTTAAATTTTGAAAACAATTTCTCGTGAATAAAAACTTGTTCTTTTCTTCTTTGCGGTAAAAATAATTGCCAGGATATGAAAGATAAACCGGAAACTGAAAATTAAAATTAAAAAAAATTATTTTGTGTCTTTGGTTTGTTTTGATTTCGTGAATTGTTTCAACTCTGACAAGACGAATGAAATGTCAGCAGCATCGGCAAAACATTTACAATGAGCACGTGACTTTTAATGTATGTTTGTAATGTTTGTTTGTCTGTTTGTTTGTTCGTTCTTTTGTTTGTTTGTTTGTTTGTTGTTTGTAATATTTGTTTGATTGTAATGTTTGTTTACGTTTACATACCTGTCCAAACACGCCTACATCTAATTCTTCCTTATACATATTACATCTTTCCATTTGAGTAGGTTTACATTTCAGTAATATTCTGTTAAAAAAAACTCAATTAACCTCAACATTTTTCAATTAACTTTCAACTGCATGTTTAAAATTCATTTTGACTTGTTCAGATACACGTAGACATATAAGGTCAGGTGGGCTTTCTTATTATTAACACCTGAATGACATGCGTCATGTGCATATAATCTGCACCCTGGCTCGTTAAGATTGCCGTTCACTTCCCACGTTTCATAAAATTATTTTGAATGTGCGTGCCAACTTAACTAACTACAAAGGTGTGTTAATACGTTTGTATTGTTTATTTAATTCAGCTTTAATTCATAAGCAAAATCATCTGGTATCAAATTAATTATTGATGACATACTCTTTTTATTCACACTTTTCGTAAGTGTATAAATATAAATACTCTTTATTCTCATTTTATAGAATCCGGCAAACACAAAAATTAGTCAGAGAAAAAACAAAGAGAGGAATATAAAAAAGACAGGAGAAGAAAAAGAGAGAGAGAAGAGAGAAAGAAAGTAGAACGAAGAAAAAGAGAGTAAGAGAGAGAGAGAGAGAGAGAGAGAGAGAGAGAGAGAGAGACAAAGACGCAATTACACGTACGTTGTGGAATTCCATTATTCCAGTTTGCAGCACTATATTTTACTAGGGCCGCGTGACGTACGCTCCGAGTCACCTGATTTAAACACTTTTAGCAAATTGTTTTCGATATTTTTTTTTCCCACGTATTCTGTATTGGGTATTTTCCTATATTGGTGTTCCTTTGTATCGGTGTAGTTTCTTTTATTTCCAATTCAAAACGCAGTCAGACCTCTTTATAAAAAACTTCTGTAGTATAACGTTTGCTCGTTGCATGGTTTAAAGTTTTGTGTCGATTTTATGAAACATATGTGTGTTTCTGTTGAGTGATATTATTGATTTTATGACCCACCACAACTACACCATAAACAGTAATGTCATCTACAACTTCAAAAAACTCAACAGTCAATTCGAGAAGTAAAAAAACTACAACAACACATCATCAACAGCAACAAAAATTTGACAAATTCACGAATGAAGCCGGGGTAACATCCACAAAAAGTCACCAATTAAACTTCCAAATATGAACAACATCAACAAAAATGGATGTGTCGAGATTATATTTATAAACCAAAAAAAAACATTAAATGAATAAATAAAATTAAAAGTAAATCAATAAATGAACTAAAATATGATAACCACAAAAAGAGATAAAGAAGGCCTAAGCTGATTATAATTTATAGTGATCGTTTGAAATCCTCGTAAGATAGATGTGTCTAAATACCCACTGATGCATTTTGTACACACATCCATACATCAATGCATATGCATACGCTTGTCTATGTATTGTATGTGCGTGTATGTATTGCTATTTTTGTGTTCACTTTTGTATTTGTGTGTATAATTTTAAAAGAGTTTCTGTGTCTTTATAAAATTGATAGATTTATTTCAATGTTTAGAGGTTATAAAGCGATTTTAAATAGGCGGGAATCTTTGCAATACACATAGTAATGTGTGAATTAATTTTTTTGTATATATGGGTGTGTGTGTGAGTGCGTGTGTCTGTGCGTGCGTGTGTGTAAGTGTGCGTGCGTGCGTGTGTGTATGTGCGCTTAAGTTTGAATTTGTGTTTGCTTATTCGTATTTGCTTATCTATGGCAAAAGTAATTAAAAGCAAACAAAGCAATCTTATCCAATCATATTTAATGATATTATCAAATGAGAATGAAAAAAAAAATGGAAAAAAAAGAAAAGGCTTAGGATGAGACAGGATGAAGGCTGGAGTAAGAAGACAAAACAAATAAATAAACGTTTTATTAAGATTTTATATTCCATTTCTATTCATTTCTTTGCTCTTTTTGCATGCCATGCATCCATTTTTAATTGCATTTGTATGCACGGTTATGCGCGCTGGTTTGCCTTTGCTTATAAGTTTTTATGTTTGTCTCTTTTTGTTTATGTGACTGTGAGAATGCACGTGTGTGTGTGTGTGTGTGGTGTGTGTGTGTGGTGTGTGCGTGTATGTGTGTGTGTGACGTGTGAAGTGTGTGTGTGTTATGAGTGGTTTATTTGAAAGTATATAAGAAAAAATGAACGAACGAAAGTATGACTGAATAAATTATGAACGAAAGAATGACTGAATTAATAAATAATGAATGAATGCATAATTGAATGAACGAACGAACAAATGAATGAATGTGTATGGACCATATGAAAGTAGTTTAGATTGATGAAAGGAAGCTCCACTCACTAATGGTGTGTTTTAAAACATGGCAATTAAATACCAATGGTCATTGGATCACGTGATCTGATGATGATGATGATTATGATGATGATGATAACATTTTTTTCAATCTTTCACTTCTGCATACATACATAAATACATTTATTCATTCATTCTTTTTTCATTCTTTCAAACAAATTTTTTATTCGCCGGCTTTTACTTTTTTAAAAAATATGTTCATTCATTTATACATTCGTTCGTTCGTTCGTTTGTTGGTTCGTCCGTTCGTTCATTCAATCACTCATTAATTAATTAATTAATTAATTAATTAATTAATTAATTCACTCATTCATTCATTCATTCATTCATTCGTTAGTTCATTCTTTCATTGAGAACAATTTCTCACTCCTTCACTTATTTTATTCCTCCGATAAATTCATTTATGCTTTCATTTATTCTGTTTGCGAATGCTTCGAACCCTTAGATCACGGTTAGACGATGGAGGAGACAGTAGAAACGAAAATTTTGGCGAGGAAGAAAAAATTTGTTGAGAAGATGCAATGCTCACATAAACATTCATGCTCCTACCGTGTAAACAAAGTCTGCCACTACCTAAGAAGGATTGGCTACTGGCGCAGAGAGGAAGAGAGAGACAGAGAAAATGAAAGAGAAAGAGAGAGAGAAAGAAAGGAAAAGAGATAGGAAAAAAGAGAAAAAGAGAAAAAAAAAGAGATGAGGAGAGATAGATAATGAGTGAGAAAGAGGGTAAAATAAAAGAGAGAGAGAGAAAGAGAGAAAATTATAAAAAATGAGTTGGTTGGTTGATTGGCTAGTTGGTGAATTGGTAAATATCAGGGAAAAAGAAAACGAAAGAGAGATACGGAGAGAGGAAAGAAGGAAAGCAAGTGAAACAAAGAGTATGGAAGGGAAGGGAAAAAGTTTAAAATAAAAAATAAAAAACAATCGAGAAAAAAAAAACAAGAATAATAAGCAAAAAGCAAAAATTAACTGTATGAAACATGAGGAAAATGTTTGATAACAATAGAGAGAAAAAAAACTTGAAAGAATTGTTTGAAAGAAAACGTAGATGACAATATATATAGATGAATAGATGGATGGATGGATGGATGGATGGATGGATGGATGGATGGATGGATGGATGGATGGATGGATGGATGGATGGATGGATGGATGGATGGATGGATGGATGGATGGATGGATGGATGGATGGATGGATGGATGGATGGATGGATGGATGGATGGATGGATGGATGGATGGATGGATGGATGGATGGATGGATGGATGGATGGAGATGTATGGATGGATGGATAGCTAGATGGATGGATGGATGGATGGATAGCTAGATGGATGGATAGCTAGATGGATGGATGGATAAATAGACAGATAGATATAAAAGAAATGAACAGAAGGGACGCGCCAGCATATGCTGGCTGGTTGGTATGCCGCATTTTACCTGCGAAATAATTGTGATGTATTAAGTGCTGCGTGCACTAGTGTGTGTGTTTATGGCCACTCCTCAATTATTTAACAACTTTTTTCTCTCTCTTCTTTTTTTAACTTCCCTGAGAACAGAAGAAACAAATTTTTTTTTTTGAAATAATTTATCTCGTTGTTTCAAGTTTTGCTTTTTTACTAAAAAAATGAAAAATAAAACGTAAATTTTTAATTTAATTTATCTTAGGTGCAGTGTGAGCTATTTCAAACGGCAAATATTTCTCTTTTTCATCTGAATAATAAAAAATCAAAGCAAAACAATTCAGACTTTTGAAAAATAACTAAGAAAATCTAAAAAGTAACAATAAAAACTAAAAAATTATATAAAAAAAGTATTTGTTCATGCATGTGTAGCTAGCTAACGAGATAAAAACATACAGGCCGTAATGGAACGCAGTTTTTGAGTCGTTAAAGTTCACGCTTAACGGAGAAATTGTTGTCAGAGTTAGGCTTCTATCTGCGTGTTTTCCCGACAAAACTTGCCATTGTCTGCAGCTGATGACGTCTCGTTCGTTCGTTCATCGTCAGGTTTCGCCTTTTAAGATATTAATTTGACTAGGTGGAATTTTCAAACTTTGAATGTTCATTTTACGGCACGATTGTGCAAAACTTGTGAAAAAAAGATTCCTTTTCTACTAAAAGTTTAATTTTTTGTTTTAATTTCTTTTTGTTTGAGATTTTGAATTTGAAAAATTTTAAGAAGAAAATCTTAGAAAATCTTGGATGAACGTGTCTAAAGAGATAAATGTTGTATGACGAGGGGAGTACTTACTTACACGCAGAGTATAACGCGTGACAAAATGTCACCATCTCCATCGTCACCACAATTCATCATCAGATTATCACCACCATCATCGTCACAGTCGTAAAAACCATCATTATCACTCTCCCATCATCTCCGTCATCATAATAATCGACATCATCATCATCCTTTTTTGATGAACCATCTTCATCATAGTAATAATCTATAATATCACAATCATCCTTTGTTATCATTATTGACACGTCCTATACTACAAACAGACGACCATTAATATTCTAACCATTACACAATCATCGTTATTCTAATCAATACACTCATTTAAAAATCCAGACCTACAACATGGACACGCACAAACGCCAACGTGCATGCAATTTAGAGATTCTTCCATTTTAACATCTTAACTCTTTAGCCCGCCGATCTTTCTAATGCCAAGAAGGGGTATACATTACATTAGGAGAGTATTTATATGAGACATGTAAGCATGTATAATATACCCAAACATGTCGGTGTGTAATTTTGTTTGTATATGTGTATTATATGTAATTGTTAAGTATGTGAGTACGTTTATGTACAAGTTTCTCTCTCTCTCACTTTCTCTGTATGTGTATGTGTGTGTGTTATTGTGTGTTCGTTTGTTTGTGTGTATGTCTGTGTAAATAGCTAATTAAGATTTAGTGAAACGGTCTTTAATCCTTTAGAAAACTTCCCAGAAATTTTAGTTTTTCAATTTTCTTTTTGAAATAAAAAGCTTTTTTCTGAAATTTAATTTTTTTTTATTTTACTTGAGAAAAAATATTTATTTAGTATTTTTTTTTTAAATTTCCGTCTTATCTTTCAGGTAAATTAATTTATATTGCGCCGTCTCTAGTCTATTTTCTTCCTTCAACGACTTATAAAATTTCCAATTCTTATTCTATTAAAAAACATGTTTTAGATTATTTTTTGGTTATAATTTAAATTTAAAAATAAAGTTCTTTTTTGTATTTTATTTTAGATTAATTTTAATTTTTAATCGACGTTTTGTATACTTTTCGTCTTCCTTGATTGCTTATATTTTACGTTTTTCTCCAAAAAAGACTACACCAAATTTTTTCATATTTGTTGGCGTTCTTATACTTTATACTCATCTACTAAACGTCTCACAAATTTTTTTTATTCTTTTATTAGTTTTTCATTTTATTCTTTCTTCCTCTTCTTTAAAAACAGCAGCAACAGTGGCAGCAACAGTAGCTGCAGTCGCAACTTCATCGACTTCTTTCTTTGGAAACATCTTCCATGTGCATCGTTTGTCTTACGGTGTCAGCCATTTTTTATCTCCAACATCATCGACTTCCGCATCCACCATCATCATCATCTACTCATCAGCATCTTGGTCGTCATCATCTATACCATCATCTACATCATCGTCGTCCTCCTCATCAACATCGCTATCATCATCGTCGCCATTTTTTCAACTATTTCATCCTCACATATACATTCACCATAAAAATTAACGTACGAGTTACCATCATCGTCGTCATGTTAAAATTAAGTTAATTTTTCAAAATGTTGATCGTCGTTAATCATCGACATCGTCATAATTATCGTCAACGTTCGTTGATCCATCTTCTTAAACATTACAAGGTTCGTCCCTTCTTAATACACCCATGCTTATCGTCATCATCATCATCATTCTCAGCATCACCCATCTCCTTATCATCACCATCGTCATTCTCATCATCATTTTCATCACCATCGTCATCATCACAGCACAGCACAAAGAATCACATTAATGTAATTTATCCATGTTTTAGCATAGTTTCCATTGTTCCTAATCATCCAATATCTCACCATACTAAAGTTAAAAGCCACACGATTAATATTTTAAACATCATCATTCTCATCATCATCGTCGTCGACAACTACTAAGTATGAGTATCATCATCATCATCATTCGTAAGGTCTAATAATGTTAACATTTTTATTATCATTATCATCATCATCATTATCATTATGACCATCATTTTAATCATCTTCACTACTATCATCATCGTCATCATCATTATGACCACAATCATCTACTTATTATACTCCTTTATCGCTATTATTTCGCTCATTTCATCAGCGCCATCATCCTATAGAGCACATACACAAAGAAATTAATGACGTCATTTCAAATGGACAGTGACGTCACAAAATTTCTACTGCGCTCTATTTTCCAAGTAAATTAAGCGTAAAACATTTTTTAAGCCTATTCTGACGAAGACTACCTCGCCTCTCTTCAAAGAATTTTCTTGAATGATTTTTTTCTTTCATTCGACTGAATTAAAAATTTTAACAAAAATTTCTCCATTTCATTTTTCATTAGAAAGATTTTTATTCCAACTGATTAATTTGCAGAATTCAAAGAAGTTTCTATAAACGAGTTAATTGAGTTTTATGAACAAAATTTAGAAGACAAAGTATTTTGTTCCTTATATTAACCAATATAACTACGTATTTCTGTAAATGCATTCAAGTTTTTCAATTAAATGTCATTTTTTTTATAAAATACTTGACTTTAAATTTGGTAATAAAATGTTCGTTCCACTCTGTTTTTACCCTGGGTTTACAGTGGTTGTAAAGAAGTTTTCATGGAGGTACACTAAAGAACCTGCAAGCTTTGTCCAAGTATTGTTTACTTATAATGCTTTAATGAGTAATAAACGGTTTTAAATTTAGTAAAAGAAACAAATGAAGTAATAAATTGGTAAAAGTTTGTTAGGCAAACATTTTTTTATGTCAACGAATCAGAATTCAACTCATTTATAAAGAATACCCATTATTGCATTCATTACACAACATTAATTAATTCATCAAGTCTAATAAAAAGTAATTTAATTTGATACTTTCAATCGTATTTTAACAAATATTGTCTTAAATTTGTATGAAATATCTTGAATATTCGAACTATCAGCGAAGTACTTCATGATTATACAACCTTGCACCAGATTACTGAATTATCATAATATTACATAAAATTGCTTTCATGTTTATGCTGTGTTGGTTTAAATTTACGTTTCAGCATTTGGGCGAAATTAAGTTAATGTTGTTATTGATCTGTAAACTAATTACTTTTCTTTATTTTTTTTTGTTAAATTAAACAAAATTAAATATTAAATTAAAATTATAGAATGGTTTCAAGAGAATTTTTACTTTATCTTCAGTTAGTTTTTTACAACTATATTGTTTTAACTGGAAAATTAACTTTCTAAAAATTGCAGAAATTTAATTTAATAATAAAAGAATATTTTTTTTAAAATTATTAATCTTTATATTATATCATAAATTAATATAATAATAAGTTTATTAAATGATTATTCAGGGTTTTCTTGATGATGGCTTCTGTTATAAGTGACAACACAAAAATTACAAGGGTAAAGTAAAATAATTAAGTTTTAAAATATATTAGTTTTATTTTTTAATTAATCTCAATGTTTATTTTTTAAATTTACTTACTTTTTTGCCTATTTTTAGTCTTTAAACCATATTATTGAAATATGAATTTTATTTTATATGAAGCTTGAATTTATTTATAACAAAACACATTTTCAACTAAAAAAATAATTTTTCTAAAATTCCTTTTAAACTCAAATAGTCATATTTTCATGTCTTATCTATCTATTTACTTATATTTGTTAATGTATTTAGTTATTATTTTTTATCTTTAATCATTTATTACACCTTTAAATATATATTCATAACATAATATAATTTCCTGTTTATAGCCAGAAAGCAGTGACTTAATCAATCTTCTATTTGTCCCAGTGGCCCAAGCAGACAGACTAGATGACCAGCCTGTCAAATCGAATGGACAGGCAGCTAATTCTAAATTGAAAACTTCTGCTCCTACTATTAAAATAAAATCAGAAAGTAAAAATTTACATAAATATCCAACAAAATTCAACTCTGGTGAGTTGAAGAACATCCTTAAAGACAAGATCCCTGCTGCTAATCCTAAGACTACATCAGATCAACAAGATTCAGTCAGGGTATTAGAATTTTCTAAATCTACAATTTCAAACAGGAATGGGAATGTTAATTTTGAACAAATTCTGAACAATAATCAAGACAGAGTATTACAAAATACTGACAAATTGGTTAAAGAACATGCATATAGTGGTAATAATGATGATAATCACAGGCAGATGATCAAAGAGAATGTTGATTCTAAAATTTCTGAAATAAACCTGAATGAAGTTACCGAAGAAAATAGATTTGCTTCTATTGGTAGTAACGAAATAAAAAATGATGGTCACAGAAATGCTAATTTTAAAAAATCTTCTGGAAAAGTTGCAGGTGAAATTAATTTAAAACTTGGCTCTGCAGCTTGTGATAATAATCAGATATCATCATCTCCATCAGAGTCATCACATAAAACATCACACAAATCATCATCTTCATCATCATCTTCATCATCCTCATCTTCATTCTCACCTTCATCTTCATCATCATCTTCATCATCATCAATTTTTATCTGTTTCCACAATGACATGTGTGAACAGAGATCAATAATTGTGCCATGTGACACTTCCTTGTTTTTAAAGTAAGCTGTCTTGATATTTTTTGAAATTTCGTTTTAATTTCATCAATGTTTCATGTTTATTCATTGGTCATTGGTTAATAAAATAATGAAATAATTATATATTTATATAAAAATTTATTCTTCTATATTTATTTTGAAAATTTTATTGAATTTTTCATTAGTTTAATTAATGATAATTAAATAAATATGTTTATATATTATGTTTCTAATGGATTGCATCATGGGATGGTTAAATCCATAACCAATCTAGTTAGAAGCAAATTGAAACTCTCTTAGCAACTTAGAAATGGGTGTGTGCTAAACCTGCTTCATTATCATGTAATAACCAGTTTATGTGAGTGTGTGCGTGTGCGTGTGTGTGTGTGTGCTTTATTTACACACTTGTATTTATTTGTCAGTATGTGTAACATAAGAATGCATTTTCTAAACATGTGTTTGTGTAAAGGTTTGTGTTTTTATCATTGTAACATATGATAGTAATAATACTCATATTGATCTCTATTTTGCTAACTACTCACTCTCTAGACTAGTCATGTTATTTGTGACGTTCGTTTTTGTGTGCGTGTGTGTTTGTGTATGTGCGTGTGTGTGTGTGTGTGTGTGTGTGTGTGTTTGACTGTGTGCGTGTGTGTGTGTGTGTTTGTGTGTAACTTCAATTGAGTAACTTTTGTGTAAATTAGTAACTTTTGCATTTTGAACTGTGAATGTTTGTAAACATTCAGCTTGTTCTATCTGGTTTTTTGTCACTTTTTTGTTAGTTTTTTATTCTTTGTAGTTTGTTTTTGTGTACGTTGTTAGTTTATATATTGTTAATATTTTTATTAGCTGTAGTAATAACAATAACACTTTTAAGTAGCAATAGTAGTAGCAGCAGCAGCAGTAGTAGTAGTAGTAGTTGTTGTAGTAGTATTAGTAATAGTAGTAGTGACAGTAACATTATAAAGATGAAACTGATTTAGTTAATTGAATGATCATTCTGTCAGAGCAATATCACCTGATCATGTCTAATTAGAGTGATGTTGTTATAAAATGAGGATGATGGTGATGATGATGGTGATGGTGATGATGATGATATTGGTGATGATGATGATGATTTAGGTCCTGCAGTTTATTCAGCCCTTAAATTGTTTTTCATTTCAGTTGTTACTTTGCTCAATTGGTGTTCAACTTATTTTTTGCTCATCAGATATTGTTAAATATATTTTTATTAATGTTAATTTATTTAGAAATATTATTTTTATTTATATTGAATTCAAAATTTTTATAAAAATTTTTGTCATGTTTTATAAAAAAAAAGAAAGAATAACAACATCACCAATAAATTTTTTTATTATTATTATTATTATTTGGCTGCTAATGTGTCTTATAGTTAAGCAACACGTTGCATATTGAAAAAAAATGTTATCAGACGTATGTATTGCACATATGTTTCTGAACTAACTGTTGAAAAACTAATTTTTTTTTTCAAAACCATTGTGATACTAATTTTAGGTATAATATATTTATATATTTGAATAATTTTTAATTTCTGATATTTAATATTATTGTAGAATTTAAATTTATTTCGAGTTTATTTCATTTCATTTGCTGATGATTAAGAATCACATCAAGTCTGGATGTTTTTTTATAAGTTCTGGTTATAAGATAATTGGTCTTTAGGTATATAATATATGTGTGTATAATGTCTGTGTATGTGTGTATACACGTGTACGTGTGTTTTTGTGTGAGTGTGTGTATGTGTGAGTGTGTGTATGTGTGTGTGTTTGTGTGTGTGAGTGTGTGTGTGTGCGTGCGTCCGTGCGTTTGTTTGTGTTTGTGTGTGCGTTTTTATATAAGCCTTGAAACTTGCTATAAATTTGACAGCTTGTTGATAATGGGCAGTTACATTCAATATTTTATTATAAAAATAGTTATCAATTTGATGATAGTTTAAATTATATTCTATTTCTATTATATTTTTTTGTGAAATATGCTAGGCTTATTGAGGAGTAATTTTGTTTTAATAATACTAGTGTTAGAGTTTGATTCATTCAATTGCTATTTTCATTAATGATTCAAATTTGAAAATTATTATTTTTGGATGTGTTTTAGAATCAGAAACCTCTGTATGTCTAATATTCAAGACTGACGTTTATAAATTGTTTTAAATAAAATCATTCACCGTGGGTCGTATTTACTTTTTCAACACCAGGGAGACCATGTACAACCATCAGTTCTGGAACTACAATCTCAACCGAGGGAACAAAATCAAAAGCTGCAACACCAACGACATCAATAACAACAACAATGACGTCACGAATAACAACAACAATGACGTCATGAATAACAACAATGACATCAACAACGACAACAACAACAACATGTTTTTCTTGTTAAGAGACACAGGCGAGATAAGAAGATATGACTACTATCAGTACTACAATCGTTATCACAACCGGCTGCTTTTTGATAGATCAGCTGATTACAAGTCTAATGGTGATACCGATAACGATTACGTTGTTGTTTCTGCTGATGATTATGATGAAATTGTTGGCAAGTAAGTGTTGCGTTGTTGTAAAGTTATTTGGTGAGGTGAAATGTTTTGCATATCCAGATTTTTATTTTTATTTTGCCCTCTCTAACGTGTCCTGATGTTTATGTGGACTCTTGAATCGGAAGTTTCAGTTTCATTTTCAATATCTTCTATTGAAAATTGTGAAAAATATTGTGGTGAACAATATTTTAATTATTTAACAGACCGACTGATGTCGTGTTAGTATCAGAGCTGACGTCATTCGCAACAGTATCACCGCCGACAACATCATCTCCATCATCTTTTTCATCATCATCTTCATCGTCGTCCTCACCTTCTTTATCCTCATCATCATCATCATCCTCATCATCGTCGTCAATGTCAGAAGCTGATGATGATTCTATTAACAACTTCTCTAGAGATTCAACAACAGCAGAAACTATTTCTGTCACCGAGGAAGTCACTTCTACTGCGGTAAATACTACAAAAACATCATCAACAACAACAAAATCTTCATCATCCTCAACAGCAGAATCACGGATCTCTAAAGACTCTCCATCTGATATCCACTTGATAAAGTCTGCCAGTATAAATATAATGACAAAAACATCTAGTAACGATATTGAAAGATCATCGTCGTCGTCATCATCGCCATCATTGTCATCTTTTACATCACCTGCATATACACAAAATATTTTTTTCCAAACATCTTCTGCTGAGTCACCACTAGACTTTGCATCATCTTCTTCATCTCCTTCTTCTTCATCATTTTCCACCTCCTCCCCATCATCTTCGTCGTCGTCTTCACCATCATCTTCACCGCCATCATCATCGTCATCATCATCATCACTTTCGTCGGAAGTATCGTCATCGTCATCATCGTCATCATCACCATTGCTAGAAGTACCACCATTATCATCAACAATAGACTCAACATCATCTACAACAGTAAAGGAAACATTAGAATCATCACCAACGACTACATCACAAACAGCAACAACAACAACAGAAGGCACATCATCACATACATCATCAACCAAAATTACAGTAGATTCAACGTCAAAAACATCAGATAATTTAACATCATCACAAGTACCAGATGCTTCTGCAACAACAACACCACTTGCAACAGCAACCGATTCAACCACAACATTAACAATAGACTCAACAACAACCGACTCACCTGCAACGAAAACAATAGACCTAACTACAACCGACTCATCTTCATCAGTAACAATAGACTCAACAACAACAGATTTACCTGCAACAGCAACAATAGACTCAATAAAAACCGACACATCTGCAACGAAAACAATAGACCTAACTACAACCGACTCATTTGCATCAGCAACAATAGACTCAACAACAGCAGATTTATCTGCAACAGCAACGATAGACCCAACAGCAACCGACTCAAAGACAAAAACAGATCCAGCAACAACGGCTACCCAGACATCATCATCTTCATCATCACCATCGTCATCATCGTCATCACATGATGAGAATACAACAACGCAAACGTCACCATCATCACCAGACGAATCATCATTATCACATGTTGAAGATACGACAACATCATCAACAACAACAACAACATCATCATCGTCATCAAAACCGGAAGATGACATCAGTGTCCCGGAGAAAAAACCTGAAATGCCATCATTTGACGAATGGAAGCAGCAGCAGAAGGAAGGAGAGAAAAATAAAGAACTCAATAAAAGTAATCCTCGTTACTGTTATTATTTGTCTTTGTTGGAATTAGTTCAGTTTAATTTGTTGATTTATTTGCTGATGAAACGTTCATTATTGTTTCATTATACATCTACAAAAACTTAAACAAACACTGTATGTATATGTACAATGAAACTCTGTATAGAAAAGCACTAATAGAGGCACACACACGCACGCGCAAACACACACGCACATACACACACACACGCACATACACACACACGCACATACAATTAAACAATACACATTACTAGCGAATCAAAACACAGACATGCAAAAACAACAACTACAACAAAATGGACAAAAAAAACACAGACTCCAGCCAGACACAACAGCAGCACCATCAGCTGCAGGCAAAATCGAAACTCATGAAGAAAGAAATCAACTACTCTTCAGTAACTTGTGGGGCAAAAATAGTTCAGGCTAACCCTGAGTCACAGAATCCTTCATTCATTTTGTATGAAAATAAAGACCAGTATATGAACAACCCATGTTTTGCTAAAAAAGGGTTAAATTTTTTTTCTAAAATAGTTCTATGGACTATTTTCGTCATCCTAGTTTTAATATATGTTAAGAGATATTTCTTTGGGGTTCTTTTTCATGTTGTTTTTTAGTTTTTTTAGCCTTGTATAAATTGTGAATTCAGTTGTTTGGTGTTTTTTTTGTTTTGTCTCTTATTTATTTTGGTATTCCAATTTAGATTTAATATTCACATTCATATACTATAATTCTTTTTTTTTGTCTGCTATGCATCCTACCACTTTGTTTTGTTACAGGTATATTTTTAGAGTTTAAAGAAAAGCAAACAATTCTTAATGAAAAAAATTTATTTTTGTGGAGTGAAAATCAGAGTAAGTTGCATGTTATAAGTGATTTTAAGAACATCAGGCCTATCATTTTCTTGTTTTATGTGATGATTTATACTATACAATTGTTTGGTATTTCACCTAGGCAGCTAATAATTCTACAGAGGTAATAAAAATATAGTTGGTGATAATAATAATTGTTATAATTTTTTTAAAATTGTAAAAAAATTTTTTTATAGGTTTGTGGTGGAGTTGTGTGAGTCGGTTCAAATTCAGTTACTAGAGCTTGGGAATTTGGAATTTTTTTCCTCTCTCCCTGAAACATTTGACATCCACATCAGTGAGAGGTGGGTTGGTTAAATTTTATTCTAATGTTATCAAATAATTTGTTCATTTTCATTTTATGTTTTTTATATCTGATTTCAATCAATTTTTTGTTACTTTTTGAGTTTTGTTTGAGCTCTTTTTTTGAGACATCTAGACTGTTGTGTGTCTGTGTGTTGTGTGTGCGTGTGTCTGTGTATATGTGTGTGAGTTTGTCTGTCCATGCATGTAAACATATGTGTTGTAATGTAACTAATTTTATTGCTAATAATTATATATCTACAAAATTTTCCACACGCTCATACAGACATTCACACACAAACACACACACACATACACACACACGTCATCGTCATTATTAATTTTGTCATCAGAATTATTATTTATCTATTCATTTATTTAAAAATACACATAAGAATAAGCATAAATAAATAGCAATTACATTAACAATATAACTAGCATGTTTATAAGTAGAGAATAGCATATAATAAGCAGTCCTGCCCGTTTGACAGAGCTTCATCATTAGGTATAAAAAAATGTATTTTTAGGATTAAGCTAAGCCAAGCTGGCTGCATGAGATTATTATTATTATTATTATTATTATTATCATCATCATCATCATCAAGGGTAGTAGTAGCAGCGGTAGTAGTAATATTTCATTGTTATTATCATCATTGTTGTAATTTTTATCATCATCATCGTCATTATTATTATCACCATTATTAGTGTTAATATTATTATTAATACTCAGATTAATACTCTATTTATTGCATTTAACACTTTGTTTTATTTCATTATTTTATTTTATTCGTACTGTCATTTTCATTGTTTTTATTGCTGAATAAAAGATTGTTTTTATTGTTGTTATTATTATTATTGTTGTTGCCAGGTTCCCAACGAAAGATTGGGTGCACCTCGGCACCTACCATGCCAGGGAGGAGAGGGTTGTCCAGTCATTCAGGATAGAAAGTGGACCAACTACCTATGTTAAATATATTAGGATTGATATCGTCAGTCACTATGGCAATGAGCATTTCTGTCCGCTGAGTATACTAAGGTCAGTTTTGGACGTGAATGAATGATGGAGTGAGTGAGTGAGTGAGTGAGTGAGTGAGTGAGTGAGTGAGTGAGTGAGTGAGTGAGTGAGTGAGTGAGTGAGTGAGTGAGTGAGTGAGTGAGTGAGTGAGTGAGTGAGTGAGTGAGTGAATAGTTCAACGACATGCGTGAAGTACTTTAGAATTGACTTTGTTGGTCACCATGGTAATGAACGTTCATTTGTTTTTTTTATTCATACATTATTTAATTTAACAAATCAATTGCTCACGCGTCTCTAGAGTGTTTGGAGTGAGTATGGATGACGATGAGGAGGTAGAGATGAGAGATGATGAAGTCGACCACGCAGACATCATTGATGATAATGCTGCTGATGATAATGCAAAACAACAGCAACAACCCAATCTCTTCAAGAAAGCTACTGGTAACTATGTTTCTTTATTTGATGAATTAGTGAATGAATGATAAGTGAATGAATGAATGAACGAATGAATGAATGAACGAATGAATGAATAAACGAATGATGAAAGTTAGATTGAAAGCTTAAGTGAAAAATTATTGATGTGTTGACTGAGGTTTTTGTTTTGAGAGTTTGCTCTGGTGATGTCAACATATAGCAAAGTTAGCTTATATAATAATTATTATATTATAAAATTATTTATAAATCAATTCTAATCAAATATAAAAAAATTAAAAAATCCATTTTTAATTTTAAAATAAATGTCTAATTAATCGATGTTTAACATAATTAATTAATTAATTAATTAATTAATTAATTAATTAATTAATTAATTAAAAGATTACACTTGCCTCCTAAATACTTCCAGATACAGTCATCAGCTTGATGAAAACAGTTCTGCCATCAACGACAACAACAACAACAGCAACGTTACAATATCAAACCGACGACACAAACATTAACAACAATTACAACAACGCTGATAGCTTCTACGTTAAAAATAACATTAACTTAACTTCACTTTTCGCATCGATGATGACGATAGCATCCCCTGCTCATTGCGTTAACGTTAGGAGAGTTAAGTTAGTGTGCTTGCATCTCTTGTTTATCATTCCACAGACTCATTCAACTTTATAAGTTCATGTTTTGTAGAATGTATAATTGAATAGAATTGATCAATTTAGATTTTAATAGGTGTTATTTCCTAATTGATCAATTTAGATTTTAATGTGTGTTATTTCCTAAATAATTACATAAATGAACTTTCGTTCATTCAACATTTATTAAATTTTTTGGTAAATTTGGGTTTAACTAATTCTTAAATTTTCATTTAAAATTTTGAATATTCTTTCGAAATTATTCTTTTAAAATATATTTCGAAATTTAAGTACGCTAACAATTAATTTGAATTATTTTTTAATTGCAGTTCAAATGGTGTAACGTTGATTATGTGCTTCAGTAAGTGTTCTACGTCTCTCATTTTATTCCTTTCTTTAGCTGTTTTGTTGTGTTGTTGCATACAGATATTTAAGATAATTTTCAATGAATTTTCTTTTTACGCGCGCGCGCGTGTGTGTGTGTGTGTTTAATTCAAATGAAATGATACTACAATGTCGTTCCAATGAATAAATTAAAAGTACAATACGATACCTATGAAATTTAAAACCAATTTTTAAATTTAAAAATTTGTTATAATAATTTTTTTTATGATTATTATAGTATTTTTTATAGTTGTTATAACTTATTGTAATTGGTTTTCATTTGTCATTCCCACAAGATGACACATTCCAACATAAGATGCTATATTGCTCTTGGGATTTTAGATGTTTGGATGTGATATACAAGTCAGCAGCTTTGTTACTGTGGGATGATTTCTGCCGGTATTATATATCTATGGTTGCTTTTAAACCATCGTCGTCGTCATCTTCTTCTACATCGTCGTCATCATTTTTAACGTGTCCAATGCTTATTCCCGCGTCGTCATCATCATCTCCATCATCATCGACAAAAGATGAAATGATTAACTCTCTGGATGACGTCAACATCGTAAATGATAGCAACTACGCAGCTGCTATTAGCAGTGAAACAATCACATCAAACCTAGCGAAAACAACTATCGAATCGAACTCACATTCATATGATATCCATCATCGTCATGATGATGATGATAAAAATGATAACATTGCTGATGAGGATAGAAAGTTGCCCGCTTTGGAAAGCAATGATAAAATCATTAACTCTGACGATGCTGTACTTAGCGTAGCTGATGAAGTTTTTAAAGATGATGAAAATTTGAGTAGCCGACTAGCAACTGATCAGATAACTCCTACATCTCATGATAAAATTGAATGTCTTCATTGTGGAAGCCACTCCGAAAATATTAAAGATGATCATCAAAATGTTATTACTGCTGCAGATGATAATGTTCCTAGTAGCAGTATCGGTGGTGGTAGTGTCAGTGATTCAAATGCATCTCTTCGAGATGAAACTGTTGGCGTTCAACAACAACACCACGATAGCAATGAACATTCAAAACATAGCACCCAACAACGACAAACAGTCGACAAAGATGCAGTGGCGACACACACTACAACAACTACCACAACGACATCAACAACTGCAACTCATAAACAACAAAATCAGCAGCAGCACCAACAACAGCAACAACAACAGCACGAACACAGCAATGCAGATAGTACCTCAGACTCGCCATCTTCCTCGTCATCGCAGTCTTCACCACCGTCATTGACGTCAGCGAAGTTGGAACCTTTAAAAGATTATGAGCTTGCTTCAGATGGATCGGTTGATGAAATAACTTACCACAAGTTACCCAGTAAGGGTAAGGAGTCAATTTTTGTCAAACTGAGGAACAGAGTGAAACATTTGGAGGATAATCTCAACCTAACAAATACGTTAGATTCTCCGGCTCTTGATCTAACTGTTTTTATTATTTATTTTTTTATTGATTTGTTTATTTGTTCATTAGATATTTAGAGGAATTGAGCCAGAGCTATAAGAAGCAATCGGAGGAAATGTACACATCACTGAATAAGACAATCTCTAAACTAATCAACACTGCCAAATCGGCTGAAGACAGGGTTAGTTGGGATGGGCTTTAGAAATTTAAATCCACTTTTCACTTCATTTATCTTATTTATTTCGCAATCATCCTTTTTAGTATTTCCCAGTTATAACACCAGTAAAGTAATACATAAATACATTTGAATTAATGCATCATACGCACGCACGCGTTGCATGTGCCGTTACGACAGACAACAATAGTTCAGTGCAACTAAATTTCGAATTTTGTATTAGTTGAATTTTGTTGCCTTCGTTTGAAATCATTGATTTGTGTACATTCTACGTGGTACTTATTGTAGTTGTAGCGTTAGAAATGTTTGTTTGTATTTAATTTAAATGAAAGGTGATTAGTATTGTCATATAAAAAAGGTTTTATGCTGAATTTGTAATTAGCAATATTATAAAATGAAATATCGATTAATTTATTAATTATTAATTTTATTTTTTACTAAACTGTTTTAGTTCTAGTTGTTTGGATTTTTTGTTGTTGTTAGGATTTGAAGCAGCAAGATAGAATACAAAACTTGGAGATTAAGTTTGCCAACCAGTCAATTCTCATATCTGTCATACAGAAACAACTGCAGGACACACATTCACAGGTCTGCATGTGTGTGTGTGTGTGTGTGTGTGTGTGTGTGTGTGTGTGTGTGTGTGTGGATGTGAAAGAAAGAGAATATGTGCGTGAGAGAGAGAGAAAGAAAAGGAAAGAGAGAGAGAGAAGGATAGTGTGCGTGTGTGGTGTGTGTGTGTATATGGTGTGTGTGTGTTTAATTTTTTCTGAAATTTTATTTTTCCATTCAACTTAGGTGGTGGAGAGGCACTTGCTGATGATGTTTATAGAATTCACAATGTTCCTCTTGCTCCTCTCATACTTTTACAACTACAAATGTCGCAACTGTCGTCTCCAACTGCAACCATTGGACAACACTGAATGCTCCATTAATTTGCAGAACCACACAGATAACGCTGGTACACCAAGTACTATGCCAAATAATCTTTCTAGTGTTGATGTTGATATTAGTAGCACCAGCAACAACCTGAACGCACAAAACAACTGCATCCTTCCCAATGGTCCTAATCGTGATCGCCACCACCATCGCCATCATGGTTGGTCCTCTAAGAAGTACGTGTTAACGTTAGCTGCCCTTGAAAAGTTCGAAAGATTCAAGTTGGAGATGATGGAGAAGGAAAAGGAAATGAAGAAAAAGAAGAAAGAAGAATTAAATAAAAGAGTGGTACGTGTGGGTTCTTAAACATTTTTATTTATCTGATTATTTTTTATTCACCCATTTCGGTTTTTATTTCATTTTGAACAATTTATTGATCATCATTTACATTTTTTTTCTAATAATTCCAGGCATTAATAAAAGATGGCCCCAACAACCTCCCCTTGAAAACTTACGCGATAAACAAGGATTTTTACAAATTAGTTCCCGAATGTTCAACCTCTGCAAGCATGTCTCTATGCTCGAAGATTAATCACAAAAGAATAAAAACCTTAAGTACGTGTGAGAACAGTGTGAACGGTGTGAACGAATATCACGTGACCAGCGCTGTTGATGATACGGATAATGATGGGGATGATGACAACTCTGAGTACAACAGCTGTCTTGATGACAGTTGTTGCGGCGAAATTGAAGGTCCAACTAATTACTACCCGCCATCTCATCATCATCAACACCATCTTTGTCGTCGTCGTCATCTTCCCATTTCCTCGTTATGTTTTTCTTCTACTCCTAAGAAGCTTCCTGGTGTCTTGCATGGAAAGGATTGTGACGACAATCCGAATGATATCAGCATCGGTGATATTCATCATCACGTCTCAAAAAGTTCAACTGTCTCTTCAACAGGCAACTCTTCAGTGACTGATTTCTCAACTGAACAATTTTCAACAGACAAAAACCATCTTGAAAATGGTTGCGGTGGCGACGAGTTGACGAACCGGAGACATAATTCGTCGCGTTCTGAGACGAGACATGTTGATAATGAGCTGCTTCGAAGGAAGAGGCAGTGCTGTTTCAGAAGGGGATTTCATTGGGCCAGTTGCGTGCGTAGACATCACGTTAGACATAACCAGAACATGTTTCAAATTCATTTTTAAATCGTTACATAGGTGCATATTTTGTTTTATATAATTTAGCATTGGGTTTTTTTTTATTTATTCATTGTATACTTATTTTTCGAGCATCCTTTGTATAATATCATATATTTTATTGTTACAATAGTTTATGCCTAACATTAACAAATTTAATACAAATTTGTCAATTGCTTGTTTTAAAACTTTTTTTTTATCTTGAAATTGATTAAATATATAAAAATGATAAACATTGTGGAAATATAACAATTTGTTCAAATAACTTCAACTGCATAATCTTATTTAATGTTATCTTCTTTTTCCCAGATTTATTTTCCATTTATTTCTTTAATATTATGTAATTTAATAAATAATTTTAATGTGGTTGTTTAAGTCTGACTTTAGAATCGAGATTTGAGGTGTAACTTGGTTTGTGTATGACGTTCTTGTCTCAATCAACTATATATTTTCTACTTAATTTTTAATTGGTTTAGTTAAAATACCTATGTATTGAAACAAATGTTTTTAAACGTTGATTGCTTCTGGTGTAAAACTGATTAATTACCATGAATCCATAATATATAACCATGTTCTTTACCTTAACTTCTCTCTAAAATGATTCTAGTTGAGTAGCAACTTATGACACATACCTTAGGCAACTCCCTTATAAAATATTTCTTTACCATACGTAATTTTCACAGAAAAGGAAACGACTGAGTAAATATAAAAAGTAGGCGCAAAACTTTCTACAAACGCACCACAATTCATGTTAACTTAGATCCACATTTAGGCAAATAAGTTTAAAGGGCCGATGCCGATCATTTGATTTGATTTTCCCTCATTTTTTCATCTAGAACTTTTTTTTATAAAATTAATTTTCTACTTTATTTGAATAAACAAACATGACGAGTAAAGATAAAATTAATTGTATGCTCTTCAGAGAAGTCTACAGAAAAGAATTGAAAGATTGGCTGAACACCATCAACCAGACAAAAGTTTCATTCATTTTTATTTTAATTTAAAAAATGAGTTTGATAAAAATATTTAAATTTTAATCGTATAACACTAATAAGAATCACATTCTAGAATCAAATAACTCGTTATTCAATATGGGTTTATAACTTTATTGTGAATACACAATACAGACAATAGTGTGGGATGAAACTCTAATATCCACATTTGATTTAATAGCCAACTTTTCGTTCCTCAAAGTCAGTCTTTTCTGAAATTTTGAAAAAAAACTGTTTCACTTTGAAAATATTTATAAATAGATTAAATAATATATAATGTATAATTATTATTATATTATTATAACTTTAATCAATAATTATTTATTAAAGTAATAATTTATTATTAAACTTTAATTTAAAAAAGTGTAGACATTAATTAATTAATTATTTTATTTAAAAGGAAAATGGGGTTGACCAGATGATCTTTTTGAATTCTGACATCAAAGCATCAGTGAAATCAGAAAATGTAATTTTTATCGTTCAGCCCAAGTTACATGTCATGGACAAAATAGCTTACATTGTCAAAAAGTAATTTTGGGTTTTTTGTGAGTATACTAAGAGAAATACAATAATTTGGTTTAGAATTAAATTAATATTAGATACAATTATAGGTATGAATTTTATTTGTGAAATTTTTCAACACCAAATAGCATTTGAAAAGTGTTAATTATTTATTTTATATCAAGATGTATGTAATAGTTTTATTTTACTATAATTTCCAAGTTTATCCAAATAATTCACTTTTGTTTAATATTAAATAACTAATTAATAAATGAAATAATTTTGGAATTGTTGAATTTTGAGATATTGATTTGATTTTAAAAATAAATTTAATCTAAGGCACGAAAATATGTTGACGTCATTGAAGAAAAATTTTCATGTCCTTTTCATACCAAGAAAAAGTTTGCTATGTGAAAAAAGGCTAAAAGTAAGTGGACAATTTTTTTTGTCACAGGTTTATTCCGCTACGTCATGTCATGTTATGTCTTGTTATGCCATGTCATGTTTTGCTCTATTGTTTATATGATTGTCAAATCTTTAAGTGTGTATACACAAATTCAAAATTAGGATTTGGATGTTGTGAATTCACTGACAAGCATAGATGAGCTAGCATTTGATATTTACCCTCTGGAGACTGATCTCTTGTCTATGGAATGGAATACTTGTTTCAGAGTTCGATTTTAGAGATTTGTTTTTTAACTTTATTCTCTAAGTTTTAGCAATTTAATTGAATAAATTTTAATTTTTTTGTCTCATTCCATTGGTTTATCTTTTGTTGTGAATTTTTTGATAGGCATGTTTCTAAATTTTCTAAAATAGTTTTTCCAACATCCAGGAGTGCTATTTAGACAGCAACCACACTTGCTTATTCCACGTTGCCAAATCAATAATGCTCATCCAGTCGTTATTTGGCATTATCCCAAACGTCGTTGGCAAGGGTGACTTAGCTGACGTTAGAGATTTGTTGTTTTTATTTTATAAACTATATTGCTTATAACCCGTTATAGTTTTTTTTAGCGTTAATAATGAAATAAATAAATAATATTATAGTGAAATTTCAATTTTAGGACGTACACATTAACAAAATCTTCATAATTTTTCATTAATAACAAAAAAATTGATGAGCTTTAAGTAAGATTATTTAATTTTTATCAGAGTATTTTTCAATTTTTATCAAAATTTGTCAGAGTGTGATCGAAATGGTGCTGAGAATGAGAAGAGAGTTGGGATCGAACGAACCGCTGATAACTCCAAAGATTGACACACTGCTACTGGTGGATAGGATTGTCGATCCGCTGACACCTCTACTAACACAACTTACTTATGAGGGCTTGGTCGATGAGCTCTTCTCTATTAGCAAAGGTTTTTTTTGTTTTATGTTCAATTTTTTTGTTTTATCTTTATTGTTATTACTTTTGAGAATAAATTAGTTTGATATATTTTTTGATAAAATTGTAATTGATGTCTATTAAATTCTGGGTTTGGTTGAATTAAAATTTAATTTAATTTAATGATGTGTAATTAAAATAGAATAATCAGCCTGTAATTTGAAGCATAAAAATTAAAAATTAAAATAAAAATTTTTTTTAAAACTTTAGGTATTGTGAAACTACCAGCTAACAAATTCAAATCAGAAAGCAGCAATGCAGACACGGCAGCGGATTCAACGTCCACCAATCCATTTGCGACATCTACGGATGAAGTTAAAAAAATCCACCTCAATTCGTCTGATGAATTGTTTGCTGACCTTAGGGATAAAAACTTCAATGCGGTGGGCAACGCTCTGAATCAAAGGGTCAAGGTCATTAGTGCCCAGTACAACGTTAGTGTCATCTTACCCCTTTTTTATAATTTTTATTTAATGTGTTGTTTTTTTCAATTTTTTCAGTGTTTTTTAATTTTTTTTAAGTGATTAGAAAGAAATAATTCAAATAAATTTTTTTATAATTATGTTTTGAGGAGTTTTTTTTACATCCAAAAGCATTACCTCTGATTAGAATTAGTTGTAACTTTTATATGAAAGTATTTAGATTCTGTTGTCATGCTTTTTGCTGTAACACTCTATTACAGATTAATTTATAATAAACGAAAATAAAATTGGTAATTTAATCTTTGAAATCTGAATTACTTTTCCAAAGGAAAGATTGGCAGCAAAGACGGTTGGCGAGATGAAGCAGTTCGTGTCAAAGATACCACACATACAAGCTGCTAAGGCTGCCCTTGCTACACGTCTGTGAGGATGATGACGATGATGGTGAATATGATTATGACAATGATGATGACGACGATGATGATGGTAGTGGTGATGGTGATGATGAGGGTGAATATGATTTTAACAATTATGATGACGATGATGACAACTATAACTTTAATTTAATACAATGATAATAATAAATAATATAATATTCCAAATTATAATAAATAATGATAATAATAGTTCTAACCCTACACAGACACGACAATAGCGGAGATGGTTAAAGGCGTTACAGATTCAGATGAGTTTCGTGATTTTGTCTGCGAACAGCAAGGTAAGTCAGATTTTTGATATGATTCAAATTGAAGATAATATTTGTATGTGATTAATCGATGTTCTCTGTTTTTTTTTCCTCTTCTTCTTCTAGCCATTACTAATATTTTCTTTAATATTTTTTTTGATGTATCAATCTGTCTATCTATCTATCTATCCATCTATCCATCCATCCATCTCATCATTGAAAATGAATGAAAATATTATTGCAAACAGAGTGTTTAAAGGGACTTGATTTGGATAAAAGTAGATCCTTCATAGAGAAGTGTATCCTAATGAAAGAAGATATCAATAAGGTGCGTGTATATCACTTGCGTATCATTTATGTATTTTCTTGGGTATTTTTTGTATATCTCCTTGGGAATCATTTGTGTATTTTCTCGGTTATTGCGTACTGCTTATATATCTTATAAGTAGTATCATTTGATAGTTTTCAATTGACGGATTTCTTGATTGAAGGTTAGCTTATTGATAGTTCAATCATTGCATACCATTACACCGTTAGGTCCTTCGCCTCATCTGTCTTCAGTGTTATTGTAACAATGGCTTAAAACCTAAAATTCTTGAATTCTACAAGAAAGAAATTATACAGGTAACATGTATAATTATGTGTATATGTCTGTTATTTTGTACAGCTGAACATGTTTTTTTTTCTGAACATGAGTATCGTTCCTGATTTATCGCCAAGGTATTAAGTACTCGGTCTAATACACGGTTTGCCAGTTGCATAAACGAAAATGAATTTGAAAAAATATGCAAACGTTGAAACAAATTGACAAACGTATGCAAAGGTGTATGGGTTCGAGCACGTGATTAGCCTCTGCAACCTCGAGAGAGTGGGGCTCCTTTTCAATCAGAGCATCAACAAAACATTTCCAACAATCAAAAAGACGCTGAAGTTGCTTGTGAAGGACGCTAATGAACAGGTATCATCAAGCGTTTCTGGAAATTGTTTTTATTGCTGATTGCACCAACCACAAAAATCTAACTGCACCCACCGACAAAAAACTGCACCAACCAACAACTCTGACGACCACCGCACAGATGCCAGAAGATATATCGTACGTCTACAGTGGCTATCGCCCGATGAGTGTACGCCTCCTGGAACTGCACAACAAGCCAGGCTGGCGCAGTATCGAAGAAATCGTCAACAACATGCTGCCCGGAGCTGTCAGGGAGGAGTTTCAACAGATGCCTGCCTGGCTCAAAAGGAAGAAAGGTTTGTGTTTTGTCGTTTGTCTGTGTTCTTTCTTTTGTTTCTTTTCGTTTATTTTGTGTGAGTGTTTGTGTTACCTGAAGTATTTCTTTTAAATAGATATGGGAATTATTTTCAAAGAATGTCATGTCCAATTTATTCAGTGAATTAAATATATATTGTGGAATGCTTTCCATCAATTCTAATTTATTTCTCTTATAACTTGTTCTTATTGCTCTGTTCAATTTCATCACATCATTCAACCAAATATGAAATTTGAATCTCAGATGGTCTGACCAATCCGACATCGTCATACTCCACAAACGGCGAGCAGAAAGTTGTCCTAGTTTTTTTTATCGGTGGTGTCACATTCGCCGAAATATCCGCTCTCAGATTTCTGTCACAGATTGATGATAGTCGGTATTATATATAGTGTCTTTGGTGACGATGTTGACGTCATCGAAATTACTTTTGTTTGTTTCAACATTTGTTGTTGATGTTATAGCTATTTCTGTTACATTTTGTGAAGATTTTCAATGTATTTCAATGTTTCGTCAACATACAATCTTTATTATTAATTTCATTCCAGGTTTAACAGAATACGTGGTAGCGACTACAAACATGATCAGCGGTCCCGCCTTCATCAGCTCGCTCTCTGATACACTCCATTCAAAACCGGCCAACCCTTTTGCTTAATTGAAACCTTTTAAAAATAATTCGTTTCATATATATATATATATATATATATATATATATATATATATATAGAAATAAATATATATATAGTTTTCATGTTGGTTTGTCTCGCTGCCTGTCTGCATATTTATCTGTCTGTCTGTCTGTCCGTCTGCTTGCTCGATTGTTTATATACATATATGTATGGGTGTATTTTTATGTTATTGCATGTTTGCATACTCTCCGGGTATGATATAAATTTTGTATGTCGTAAGGTCATGAACATGCAAGCACATGCACGAACATAATGGTAGATTCGATAGCAGCCATGCATTCTTATTGATGACAAGCACATTTGCGATACGCCTAGTTGGTATATTGCTGCTAATTGTATGTACATCATGTACGCAAATAGATAGAAAGTGAAATATATATACATATGAATATATATTTTTATTTATTTATTTATGTTTAATTTATACAATAAACAGACACTTTATGAGTTTGGAACTGTGGATATTAATCGATTTTTAATTTAAAATAAAACAACAGAAATCATTTTTTATGATTTTAATTTTACTCCAGAAAATATGTTTTATAATTTATTCGTTCAATAATTTGCTTGTTGGTGATTGGTTTTGAAATGTTAACTAAACTAATTATAAATAAATAAATAAATAATATGCGATCGCAATGATGCGAATGACGTTAAAAACGAAAAAATGTTGATGACGATGAAAATGATGAATGTATCGGAACGTAACTAACTAATGAACGTAAGCCAAAATATTCATTATCTTATGTTCAAATTACAAAGAATAGAAATACGAATTTAAAAAATATAAAATGACCGGATGTGACGTATTTGTGTGTTCGTACATGTACTAAATTGTGCTGCTATGTGGCCTCGATATTATCTACAGTGTGTTTGTATGTGTGTGTTTTTCGTAATGTCATATTTAAGTTGGGTGTAGAGTGAGTAATGAATCAAATAAATGTATGCATGTAGGTCTTCCGAATAAGTATCTAACACACACACACATCATAAACTCTTTTTCCGTTACACTGAAATCAAACAAAAACAGGTGATTGTTTATGCAAGCCTAACTACAATACGTATGTTATGTAATGATGTTTATGTATGTGTGTGTGTGTGTGTGTGTGTGTGTGTGTGTGTGTGTGTGTGTATTATGTGCAGTGTGAATTATATTTTTCGTAAGTTATGCGATTCTTGCAGTGTCGATACAGATTTAATCTTAAAACACCATAATACAGACGCTCACGCTAACTAATTTTACAAATATATGGACAGAAAATTAAAAAATTGGAAAACCGAAATGAGCAGTTGTGTAATAATATAAAGCAATATAATCGACACGCCCCTAGATGTCAACCGCTAATTACTTAGTCTGGAAAGCATTTATGTAATTTGACTAATTCAAACTATAACATCATTGAATTAAATCATCAAAAATATTTATTAGTTAGAGCGAGTCGGATGATTGATGGAAAAGAAATGCAACGCGTGTTTGTTACGAAAAACGCATCACACAATCGAAAGTTATCAACGCGTAACAGTCAACCCACCACTCCTCCGTTACTTAGTTTAAACGTTCAATTACTGACAGAATTCATTCAAGATTATGCGAAAATAACTTAAATAATGATAAAATTAATCATAGCTGGAAAAATAATAGGGAAAAAAATACAAAATGATCAAGTCGATGTTAATTTTTTAACATTAATAGAATACCAATCAGTTTATTGTTAACAACAATATTTAATTCGTAATTTTAGTATATCATTTAGATATAAATTATATACATATATATTTATATATATATAACACACACACACACACACACACACACATGTATATATATATATATATATATTTATATAAGTACCTTCCTTTTATAAGTGTAAATATAATAATCCATATAGTACCTTTGAGTAAACTTGGAAGTTAATTAAATATTCCTAAGCAAAATTCAATGGTTATAAAAGCTAGGGTATTCTAAAATCCTTCTCAAGAAAACTTTAAATGAAGAAAGTTAGACGGTGATGACGATAACGATGACGATAGCTATGATAATGATGATGATAATGCTTAGAAAGACGACGACAATTATTATACACACTATTCAACGTTTGATGAGTTCTAGAATCGGAAAGATGACGGTGATAAAGATGGTGAAGATGGCGATGAAGATGAAGAGGATGATGAAGAAAATGGTGATGATGACGGTAACTGTTTTAAAATAATTACAATTACGATTCTTTATGTAGATTAGATTATTAGTATTAATATACATACTCCATTAATACGAACAGAGGTAAAATAAGGCGTAAATAATCAAACATACATACAAACAAACTAACAAACATACATACAAACAAACATACATACATACATACGTACATACAAACATACATACATACATCGATAGACAAACACACACACACAGAGAGAGAGAGAGAGAGAGAGAGAGAGAGAGAGAGAGAAAATCACATACACATACACCACTAAATATAAAACAATACATCTCGCATATTAAACATAATTAATCAATTAATTAATTAATTATAATGTTAGTTAATTAAGTATGCATATATTTAGTATACACGATAGTATATGTGCAGTGTCCCAAAAAAATGTACTCCACAGATGAGAACTTGAGGTTCATTGTAATTTTGTGCATTCAAAAACGCGCCAGTGTTTGCAAAGAAACTATTTTTACACCCAACTATCTAAACTGTTATACAATGTTTAAAAATGCCCATGTACACCATTGGCATGTCTAACAAAAAAAATTCAATTGTTTGAAATCTGCAATAGAGAATCGAGAAGAACCAATTGAATACATACGCGTAAAGATACCGAAGGAGTTGTTTCAAGATGTGTGCGTGTATAATCATTAATTTGTGCTGTGAAATCCAAATTCTCAAAGTCAAACTTTTTCAAATACATAAAAATATGATAGTGAGTATCATATTATTGTTTTTAATTGCATACTTTTTGAAAAAACCACACAGCCATTTAAACTCCTGTAAAATGTAGTATGATGAAATCTTAATGTAGGTCGTCAGTTTGAAAAAAAAAATACCACGTGAACCTTCTATACGACTTTAAGATACAAACCAACTCTATTTATCATTCTTAGAAATGCCTGTACATTTTTTCTGGGACACCACATACAATTCTATTTATGATGATAAACACACACACAAACACATTCACACACACACACACAATGTGTGTGTGTGTGTGTGTGCGCGCATTTATAAATTTATCATTAAACAAGTCACTGAAAACTTTGCAGAATAATACATTTACATGAAACAGATTACTACATTCATTAATCATAGGAAGAAAATCAATATGAACGATAATTATTATTTATTTTTACATAAATTTATATTATTATTATTATTATTATTGTTATTAAGCAAACTATAGAGAGAAACAGGTCGATCGATTGATAGTAATGATGAAATAAATCAAGGAAAATAATGTTAACAAAAATAATAGCAATAATAATAATAACAAAAATTAATAGGAATTGATAATAATAATCAGAGCCAAATAATAATGATGAATTTCGATTCACTGAAATCAATAGCACATCAAATGTATTTACAAGAACAGAAAAAAAAATTTGTTATATCAAGAGCATTGATAAAGTTAAACGCATGAAAACTAGAAATAAGAAATACAAAACCATTTAAATTATTTTTTGTGTTATAAATAATAATGAAAATAAAAATATATAATAATAATAAATATGTTATTATAATAATAAATAATTTTGATTAATATGTATATTATGTCCAATTAACTTATTACATTTCTCTATTCAACATTTTTCCAACAGGAATCAAACAGCAAACACACACTTGCAAGAAAATACATGCGAAACGCCGCATCATACCATATACACTGCACGTTGTAGGCGGGCATCTTCGTGCAATAGAACCTGGTCACTTCAGCGCCAGTGTCAGACACTTTACCGTTACACCACCAGACATACATACATATAGACATTTAGTTATTTATATAAGCATCACTTATATGTAGCAACGTTACCCCAATGAAGATGAATATTATGAAATTACAATGACAAAAGTAATATTACATTATATTATATTATATTATACAGAGTTATATTTTTGTGCAGTAGTGTACAAGGTCTCAGATTTAATGAATAATAATTAAAATTGAAGAATAACAACATGTGCGTACGTTCATGTGTGCGTGCGTGTATCTGTAAAATGGCATACACCCAAAGCAGTTAGAATATGATGATAGGATTGCCAGGTTAGCATTATTTTAATTAATTATTTATCTGAAAAAGCTACAAAATTAGATAACACAGCCACACACACACGCACGCACGCACGCACGCACACGCACACATATATAGTCTTCCCCTACATACACGCAAAGACAGACAGACAGACATTTCCACAAATACATATAAATATATGTATAGAAAATGAATCACACACACACACACACACACACATCAGATAAACGACAACAATGACATGACGACGACGCAAATAGTGATAAATTCATTTACGGTATAATTAGAAATACTTATCATAACTCATGAACTGCACAGATGATGATAATGATGATGTGATAATGATAAGCATTATCACTAACTACAACGACACGTTATCACGATGATGACGACGACGAAGACGATGATGACTGTGATGATGATGATGACGACGACGACGATGAAAATGGTGATACAATGAACAAACTTGAAAGCCATCAATAAATGATAACTATGGCGGAAAAGACATGTTAAAATATCGTTAATTATGAAAGTTATATAAAAAAAATGAAGAGGAACATTTTTTTTATGTCCATACAATGTACACGTAGATCGAATGCATTACAGACATTTTATAGTACCAATAAATAAACTTAAAATTAGAAATAAAAAAATGCTATCAATTATTTAGGTTAATTAATTAGTTATCAATTATTTTGCTTAGGTAAGGCGAAC